CGAGAAAATAGGAAGAGGAGTAGCGCAGCAGCAGCAGGAGTAGAGATAGCAGGAGTAAGGGCGGGGGGAGAGGCAGAGTGGGGGGTGGGGGAGGTACGAAGGTTCTCTGGCGAAAATTGGTCTGGGTGAGGAGATACTCCCGGGGGGATCTTGCAGTAATCCAGTTGATTGGTCGAGAGCGGAGGGAGGGAGGGGGTGAGAGAGAGAGGGGTAGAGGGGGACAGGGGCTTCATTGTCCCTAAACTTGTGTGGGTCTCTCCCCTTATATCCTCTCTTCCCCTCTCCTCTCTCTCTCTTTCTCCTCTTTCTCTCTCTCTCTCCCTGCCTCTCCCTCTCTCCTCCTCAAACTCTGAACTTTTCCCCTTCATCCCCTGGCATCTCCTTTTCTCTCCTCTTTTCCCCTTTTCTCCCCTCTTGATACTCTCGCCACTTCTCATTCTCGCCGTGTGGTGTGTGTGTGTGTGTGTGTGTTGTGTGTGTGTGTGTGTGTATGTATATTATGCAAGTCCAGCATGGCGTATCGATGCCCAGAGGTTTATTGAGGCAGCGTGAACTACATACTTGCTTGAACACTGCAACAGTCTCTCTCTCTCTCTCTCTCTCTCTCTCTCTCTCTCTCTCTCTCTCTCTCTCTCTCTCTCTCTCTCTCTCTCTCTCTCTCTTTCTCTCTCCTTTCTCTCTCACCCTCCCTCTCTCTCTCCCCCTCCCACATCTCGAAGGCTTTTTGACTGGGATAATTGATGTTATTCTTGAAGGCTAGTTTTCTCCCCGTTGGAACGGTAATTACATTTTCTGATGTCGGGCGTTTGAAGTCATTGCCCCCCCCCCTGCCCCCCCCCCCCTTGCCCCTACCAACCACCTCTGCCCGCACCCCTTTTGCTCTTGAAAATCACTTCTCTCCCCACTCCATTCTCTCCTCTCCCTCTCTCCCCTTGCTTCTTTCCACCATGTTATCTCCTCCCCTCTTTTCTTATTTTCGACCCCCTGCTTTCCCTCCTTCGCTCCTGTCGTGCCCCCCCCCCCCCAAGTCCCTTCCCTCCAGCTGGCCCTGCTTGCCTTCTGCCTGCATGACGCCCGTGCACGTGCGCTTGCTTCATTAGCTTTCTTTTCGGTAATGGCGGAACGTTTATCCTTTTCCGAGATCTGCTTTGTGGATTATCCCTCGCAATTAATCCTTGCATCCTACAGCCAAGGCGGCGTGTGGTAGGATTCTTGATTTTTTTTTCTTTCTCCCATCTTCTCCCACGTAAGGGGAGTGCTCTTGTTGATCACCAGGAGGAAATCTTGTTCTTGTTTGTTTTGTTTTTGTTTTATCATCGGGCGGTTATTTTCTGTCTTCAGGTTTAAGACGTTTTTTTTCTCTCTTGAGTTAGAACGGAGGATTTTGTTTCTGTTCTCTTTTTCTTTCTCTTTCTCCATCTTCTCCCCCTTCCTCTTCCTCTATGTGTGTGTGTGTGTGTGTGTGTGTGGTGTGTGTGTTGTGTGGTTGTGTGGTGTGGTGTGTGTGTGTGTGTGTGTGTTTGCACGCGGTTCTTTCAAGAATTTTTCTCACTTTCTCTTGGGAGACATTCAGGAGATCACTTTTATATAATCTGCATATTTTAAGGGGTTATTTTAAGACTTTTTGATTGGTATCGGTATTCCAATTTTCGAAATTGATCCCAGCTAAGAGGGGAGAGAGAGGGGGGGGGGAGGGGGGATGTGGAGGGGCACGAGAAGCAATTGGCTTTACTGTTGTTTTTGTCTGCAGTCGGGAGAATGAGATCTTAAGGTTGCAAGGCTGGTTTGCAGGGCGTTTTGTGATTGCAATGGAAGCGTGTCTTTTGGGCTTTGGACCTGTTTTCGTTCTCCTTCCTGAGGGTTTTTATTAGTGTATTTGTTTTACGTATATATACATATGCACATAAATACATTCATACTGCAGTCGCATATAGACGTTTTGTCTTTTTATGAATAAGACTTTTTCTCTGGTCTGAATTTGACACTGTTTTGAATTTTGAAATTGGTCTTAATCTGTGTATTTTCTGTGTATTCTTTTTTCACGGTTGTTTTTTTTCTAAAATAATCTGATAAATTACCCTGGTCGATACTTACTGGTTTCTGATAAACTTTTATGACTTGTTATCATCTGTGTGTATTTTAACATCTTTATTGTGTATTAACATCTTTTTTTGAAATATTTTATGATACAAGTTTTTATGTTATTTCGTTTAACTAACTTGTTTTCTTTCTCTTTTTCTCCCTCCCTCCCTCCCTCCCTCCCCTCCCCCCTCAAACTACCATTCCTGAAACCAATCAAATCTTAACTTCTGCCATTCTCAACTCGTTTTCTTCCGTCATCTATTCCTCCTTTTCCTCTCTTCGATATCATTCCCACCACCTTAACTCGTTCCCTCCCTACCCTGTTTCCCTACACCTCCCTCCCTCCTTCGGCCCCCTCCTTTCGTCCCTCCTTCGGTCCCTCCTTCGGTCCCTCCTTCGGTCCCTCCCCGCCCAACAGCTTCAAGGTGAGCGTGGAGTCTTGGATGTCAGGCATGATTAACGGGATGGACTCTTGCGCCCAGAACGGCACCGCCTCCTCCAACTCCTCCCAGAGCGGCCACATTGAGGAGTCCAAGACAAACCTCATCGTGAACTACCTGCCGCAGAACATGACGCAGGAGGAGATCCGCTCCCTGTTCTCGTCCATAGGCGAGCTGGAGTCGTGCAAGCTCATCAGGGACAAAGTCACAGGTGAGTCAGGTGCGAACAATCAATTCTTTTTTCCGTTTTTTGGGCTGGGAGTGGTTTGTTGCTGTGGTTGTGTGTGGGGGTTTGTTTGCTGTTTGTTTGTTTGTTTGTGGTGTGCAGAGGGTTTTGGCGGGGAGGGTTGTTTGTGTGTTTGTATGGGGGGAGGGAGTAGGGGAGTGTTCGCTTGTTTGTTTGTGGAGTGATTTTTTTAAACAATAAGGGGGCTAGAGATAGATAGATTGTAGTTTGGACTTCGTGACGTCCGTGTATCGTTGGTTGTATGCATTTACGAACTACGATGCACAGGGGGTTATGAAGTATTTTTTTAACGAGATTGTAGACTTATGTTTTCTCGTTATTAACCTTTCATTAACTGTAGTTTGGGGTTGAGGTAGTTTTGTGAGTGAGTGCTAACAAGGTGGTGAACGAGGTAGTTTTGTAGTTCACGTAGTTTTTGTTTTTTTACATGAGTGCCCTGTAATTATATATATTTGTATATATTGTAAGGTTTTCTCAGTTCGCTTTCACTCATTTATTGCATTACTCATTTTTCATTGTTTCTCATCCACAAGCACTTTTTTATGCTGGATTCACCTTTTATCATTTGTTCATTTGTTCACTTAATAAAGTTTTTCCTTCATTGCCATTTCTCTGTTTATTTAATGACCATCCTTACTAATTGTTCTTTGTTATTATGCTATTATTAGTATTATTGTTATTATTCCCATTATTCCCATTAATTGTTCTTTGTTATTATACATCAATTATTGTTCCCTTTTTTGTATTTTGTATTGGTTTTGTGAAACAGCACAGCTTGCTTTAGGATTATTGGTAAGTTTTTGTTTCTAGTTAGATGTTTGGGAGGCGAGGGAAGGGAGGGAGTGATATTGAGAGAGAGAGAGAGAGAGAGAGAGAGAGAGAGAGAGAGAGAGAGAGAGAGAGAGAGAGAGAGAGAGAGAGAGAGAGGAGAGAGGGGGGGAATTGAGTTAGTATCAAATTGATAATATCCCCGTGTTAAGAGAGTGAGAGAGGTTTTGGCTGGACGGGAAATGGGTGAGCGAGCGAGGTAGACGAGAGAGAAAAAAGGGGTGATGAATGCAAGAGGAAGCGAAGATGGAAACGAGCGTGGAGAAGGGATGCAGGATAGAGGAGAGAGGGGGGGAGGGAAGGAGGGAGGAGGATAGCATAGGATAAGATTAGGGATACTATTAACAAAAAGTAGAGAAGAGAGAAGAGAGAGAGAAAGGAGAGAGAGAGAGAGAGAGAGCAGAGAGAGAGAGAGAGAGAGAGAGACGGAGGAGAGAGAGAAGAGAGAGGAAAGAGAAAAAAGCGCGAGCGAGCGAGCGAGCGAGCGAGAGCGCCATCTTGGCAGACATAAAATTGTTTGGCTCTGTACTGTTGCTATATTTGGTCGCATTAATAATGGTTCGCTTTTATAATTACGGGGAAAGGGGTTGGAAGACGGCTAATGACACCGAGGGGAGAGGAAGGGGAATGAAGGATGGCGGGAGACGAAAAGGGAGAGAAGAAAAAGAGGGAGGGAGGGGTAATGGGAGGAAAAAAAGAAATAAAGAAAATGGCAGTAGAGGAGAGGAGAGAGAGAGGAATGGGGAAAGGAAACTAGAAAGAAAGTATTTTTGGAAATGGATGAAGAAAATGGGAATAGAAGAAGAGAAAAGAAATGGGGGTGAGGAAGGAGGGGGAAAAGAGAAAGAGAAAGAGAAAGGAAGCGAGGAGAAGGCAGTGGGCTGGCTGGCTTCTTTGTGACGTGGGGCCGGGGGTGGTGTGGAGGGGGGGGGGGCGAGAGTGGGGAGGCCTACAGGAAGTGGGCTTGAGGGGGTTTATAGATCCAAGTCAAGAGAGCTTCTTTTTATTACATGTGTGTGTCTTCCATTTGTCTGTGTTTTGTCTGCTGCTGTCCGTCTTGTCTGTCGGTGTAACTATTTTTTCTCGTGGTCTCCTCTCTCTCTCTCTCTCTCTCTCTCTCTCTCTCTCTCTCTCTCTCTCTCTCTCTCTCTCTCTCTCTTCTCTCTCTCTCTCTTCTCTCTCTCTCTCTTTCTTTTCTCTTCTCTTTCTGTCTCTTTCTGTCTATCTCATATATGTACGCATATGTGTCGGTGTGTATATATATATATGAATATGTATGTTTGTATGTATATTTGTCAGAGCTTTCGTTAATCTTGCCTCTGTTACACAGTCATAAAGGAGCGACAGGATAGGTAATCTTACTGAGGGGCATGGGGGGAGAGAGAGAGAGTGGAGGGGGAGGAAGAGGAGAAGAAGAGGAGAGGGGAAAAGGTCAGAGGCAGAAAGACCTTTAGCTGGGAGATAGACATTGGCTTCGAGTTGTCTTTCGCTTTCTCTCGATTATTCTCCCTCTTACTTAACCCCCCTTTATTTTCATCCTCTGTTCACACGCCACCTTTTCCTCTTCTCTTCTCTTGCCCTCAGTCTCTATGGCCTTCCTCTTTTCCTCTTTTCTCCTTCTGTTCTTCCTCCTCCTTTCGCATTTCGCCCCCTCCTTCCATCTTCCCTCTTCCTTCCTCTACCTTCTCCTCTCCCTCTCCCCTCTCCTTCTCTCCCTCTCGTCTCCTCTCCCTCTCCCTCTCCCTCTTCCTCTCTCTCTCTCTCCTCTCCTCTCTCTCTCTCTTCTCTCTCTCCTCTCTCTCTCTCTCTCTCCTCTCCCTCTCCCTCTCCCTCTCCCTCTTCCTTCGCGAATGGGAGCCGCGGCGCAACAGCCTATTAAAGGAGGCTGGCGAATCGCAGGCCCTTTGTGGCCGAGGCTAAAGGAGAACCCGTCCGCTTCCTTCCCGCGAGGGGGTTCTGCGGACGCGATTGTCTCTCTGCTTGCCTCTCTGCCTGCCTGCCTGCTTGCCTGCTTTCTGAGGAGGTCGAGGGAAGGGTGGAATGGTGGGAAGGAAGGGAGAAGGGTGAGGGAAGGGTTGGAATGGTGGGAAGGAAGGGAGAAGGGTGAGGGAAGGTTGGAATGGTGGGAAGGAAAGGGAAGGGTGAGGGGAAGGTGGGTGGTGGGAAGGAAGGGAGAAGGGTGAGGGGAAGGGTGGTGGTGGGAGGTGGGGGATGGGTTGGTGGAGAGGGTAGGGTGGGTTGGTGGGAGGGGGTGGAAGAGGGAAAGGTGGGAGAGCTTTAGAAAGGTGAGAGTGAGTGAGTAAAGTACATACGCAAAGGCAGGAGGGAAAGAAATCAAAGAGATATGGAAATAGGAGAGAGAGAGAGAGAGAGAATGAGAAAGAGAAAAGGGAGGGAGAGGGAAAAGGGAAAGAGGGAGGGAGGAAGTTACGGTAGGGCATTCATGTATGTATGTATGCTCTGTATGTAAATCCCGGGCGGCCGTGAGCGCGATTGGCCCGCCCGCAGCAGTAAAAAGTCCGCCGCCCTTCCCCGCGCCCGAACTGCCGCCGCGAGGGAGACTCATAAAACGCCCGTGCCATCGGCGATCCGGAGGTGCGACATGCATCAGCGCCGCCGCCCACGCCCGTCTGCGTAGGCGTGGGTTTTTGCCTTTGTGTTTCTTTTTGAAGCGAGGACTTGCTTCGGTGTACACACACACACACACACACACACACACACACACACACACACACACACACACACACACACACACACACACACACACACACACACACACACACACACACACGCGCGCTAGAAATCTGCAGTGCATGTTTTGCGTATCTGCGCGTGTGGGTGGGTGGGTGCGCGCGCACGCGAACAGAGATGATATGAAAAGAAAATAATTTAAATGAAAAAAGCCCGGATCATCGATCTTTCTTGCAGCTCGCTAAAGAAGAAGCCGAGACGGAGGGCCTGGCGGAGGGAGGGAGAGGGAGAGGGAGAGGGAGAGGAATGGAGGGAGGGAGGGAGGGAGAATGGAAGGAGGAGGGAGATCGAAAGAGAGAAGAGGGAGGGAGGGAGAGATCGAAATGAGAGATCGAAGAGAGAGAGAGAGAGAGAGAGAGAGAGAGAGAGAGAGAGAGAGAGAGAGAGAGAGAGAGAGAGAGGAGAGAGAGAGAAGAGAGAGAGAGAGAGAGAGAGAGAGGGATGGTGGAGATGCAGCGTGGCTTGGTTTAAGGGAGGTGATGGTGGGGGAGGGGGGAGAGGAGCGACCACAGGAGGAGCAGCAGGCGCGTTGTAATTCTCTCGATATCGACCCGACCCGCTCCTCTCTCTCTCTCCCCCCCTCTCCCCTCTCCCCCTCTTTCTCCCTCCACACTCCCTCCCTCCCCCTTTTGTTTAAGAATCGATCCACGATCGACCTGGAACGAGGGGAGGAGGGAGGAGTGAAAGGAGGGAGGGGAAAGGGGGTGGGGGGCAAGGCGGCGGTGGAGTGCTTCTCGTCCTTCTGTCTTCCTTTTTATACTGGTTTGTAATACCGTATTCTGATTACGGACCGGAGGGAGGGGAGGGGAAGAGAAGATGGGGGGGGTGGCTGGAGGAGTAGGGAAGGAGGGAGGGAGGGAGGAGGGAGGAGAGGAAGAGGAAAGGGTCTCGTCTGTCAGATACTTGATTTGATGCTAGATGGAGACGTTTGGGCGGGAAGAAGAGGGGGGGGAGAGAGGGAGGGATTGGAAGGAGGGTGAAAGGACACATACACTCGCTTTCTTTCGTTATTAATCTCTCTATCTCTCTCTCTCTCTCTCTCTCTCTCTCTCTCTCGTCTCTCTCTCTCTCTCTCTCTCTCTCTCTCTGCTCTCTCTCTCTCTCTCTCTCTCCTCTTCTCCCTCTCTTTTTTTTTTTTTTAAATCTTTTTCTCTCTTTCTTTTGGGTTTTGGGATTGTTCCTGAGTCGTGCTTCGCCGTCGTCATCTTTAATCCTCCTTATCATTTTATCATCATCTCGGGGCTTCTGATGATTGTGCTGGTGGTGATTTTTATTATAGTTATTGCCATTTTGATGGATATGACAGTTATTATCATCATTAGTGTCTTCGTGGGGGAGATAATGAGCTCGATGTTTTCGCTTTGCCATTGCTCGTCTCGTCTTTG